GAAAACTTATTTTCTTTTCTTTGTATGTTATGTTGTGTTTAAGCATTTAATTTGATCAAAAAGGATATTTACCGTACCATGACTTATTTGGATTGTTTCAATGTAATTAATATTTTTTATTACTAATTAAAACTTATTGTTTCATATTTTATACATTAACATTTTTAAATTATTGTATAGGGTGTGTGAGAGACATTTCAAAACATAAAATTTTTAGATTTAATTTACATTGTCTCTGCTGCAGAATATAAAATACCATCATAATACATTAATAATTACAGTAATTTTTTTTAATCTCATCTGTAGTTTGAAAACTTACCTTGAAATTTTCTAGAGTTTGTTTGTGGGAAACGTGTGTGAACCTGTTTTCTTCCGTGGTTTTAACCTGAACCTCGCCCTCCTCCATCAGATCGAGCTCTGCTGCTCCTCCCTGGAGTCGCGCCTGCAGGGCGTCGGCGAAGTCCAGTCCCACGTCCGCGACGTCTTCTCCCGCCTCGCCGACCTGGACGACGAACTGGACTCCCTGAGTCCCGTCTGCCGTGACGCCGACTCGCTGGCGTCGCAGGCAGACGCCGTGAAGAGCTTCCTGTCCCGCCTGTCCGACCTGAGGACGGAGCTGGAGGGACACGCCGCCGACTGCACCGCCATGTTGAAGAGGGAAGGCTCCTCGCCGGACCTGCTGGCTCTGCGCAGGGAGACGGAGGCGCTGAGCCGCCAGGCTGGCAAGGTGGGGAAAACATTCTTTACTTGTAGGGCTGCCACTGAGTGAACAGTTTAAATATTATAACACTTGAAGAGTTTTACATAAAATGTATTTACAAACAAATATATTGCAGTTTTAAATGCTAATTGTGTGTTTATTTTGTACAGTTGTGACTTGGTGACCACGCTGAATGTTTTGTTTTTTTCAGCAAATCAAATTTTTTGAATCTATAGTCCAGTTAACAATTAATCAGTTACTAAAATAGTTGATGATTATTTTAATTATCACAGTTAATCCCTCAATAATTCCTTAATATAATTCCTTACAATAACAGAGCAGAGATTACTTTAAAAACAGAACATTCAATCACATTTTTTGAGTTTGTTTCTTTTCTGTATTAAAGTTACAAACATTTTGGATCTTAATGAATATTTTAATTGGTCGTTAAACAAGAGGAACGTCTCTTAGCGTCACATTTATGTCTGTTTCGTTGCTCTCCAGCTGAGCGAGCGCGGCCAGGCCAGGCTGGTTCAGATCGAGGACGCCGCAGAGAGAGTACAGGACTTCTACCGGCTGGTGGCGGAGCTGCAAGGCATGCTGGGAAAAGCCGAAGACGGGCTGAACTCGCAGGGTGTGGTCGGCACGGAGGTGGAGATGATCAAACAGCAGCTGCAGGAGTTCAAGGTAGGACTGGCTGGGTTTGAGTTGCTGCTGAAGCTGGTCGTTTTGCTTGGAGATTCAGAATTTCTCTGAAACGATCGAGAGATTTAAAAAACTGAACTTTAAGTTTTAAGTCAACCATTGATGGAAAAAGTTCTAGTTACCTGTAAGTTAATGTTGTCTTATTTTAAGTGTACCAAGATATCTGCGCCAGAAACTTGATCAAAAAAAGTTAGTAAGATTTTGTGTGTTTACAGTGTGAATAAGTTTAATTCAGTGCAGGGAAACTTTCCTGTAGCAGTCCGTCTTACAGTGATGCTGAAGAAGCCTCTGACAGAAGACACTGTTGAATCGTTCTTTGCCCAGAACAGAACCAGTCTCTTTTATCACCTTGTTTATACCTTTTTAACAGTTGATTATTTTTCTATTTCATGTCAGAATCATCAAAAATAACATAAAATTGGTCAAAACCAAAAGTCTTCAAGAGGATTTGTTGAAAAGTGTTTTATCAGTGGATTCATTTTAAATGCAACTTTTGGTTCCAAAGAAGAAGAGAAACAAACTGTCACTATACAGGAGTTTTATTCTTCAGATTAGCACTTAGCGTGAAATTAATTTTGCTAAGAACAGAAGAACAGAGTAAACTTTCGTGCAACACGAGCTTCGCCTCACAGAGCTGCGTTTGTGTGGTGAATGGCGTCATTGAGTTTTTGCAGAGCTCTTTCCTCCAGAGATCCTCATTTAAAGGGATTGTGTCTGTTTGTTTGAACCGCGCTGCGCTGCAGACGGCTGAATCACGCTGCCTTTCCTCCCTTTGATGCAGCATCACTAGTGATGTTTGTCAGGAAATCTTCCAGCACATATTTCATGATTTTCCTGTTTCTAATGCAAATCTATGAAACGAGTTTTGCTGCGAAACTTTCAAAGTTTGGTCCAAGCTGTAATCGTTTTAATAAGGCAGAGTTTTAGTAGTTTTGCTTTGATGGAGGCTGTTTCGTAATCCTCTCTTTTCATCTAAATGTCACAATTTGCATTTGCAAACATAATATTTAAAAGAGCTCAAAAAAGTAAAATTTCTCACAAGAAAAGTTACTTTAATGTTTGTAAAACGTTGATTTTGAGTGTCCTGCTCCGTTTTCACTCATCTACTGCTTTGATCTTGTAATTATGAAACAGACCAAACACTGAATTTGATACCAGTCTGTCTGTTTGCTTCCTTTTCTTGTGGTTGCGACGTTCTCAGTCGGTAAATTCTGCGGCGGCAGCTGTGCAGCTTTTGTTGTGGTCGCTGCTTTTATCTCGACCATTCCTCTTAGTGATAGGGACACAGACGTCTCTACGAAGCGTTGCTGCGTATTAAGCCCATTAAACTATATTATTTATTTGTTTTATCTGTAGATCAAGAATGGTTCTCCACATGTAATAGCATTTGTCCAGAAAATCGATGAAACATTCACAGAGCCTTCATATTTACTGCAAAAAACAACTGCTCTGTAATCAGAGATTGCACATGAAAAGAGGCTGTGTTACCAAAAAAGTGATAACAAAGAGGTTTCTGTTGTCTGAAGCGCTCCACACCAAGTCAGCGCCACAACTCGGCATTTTGGAAAACATTTTGAGTTTGGTCACTTATTCATCAATCTCAGTTTTATTTTAACCACTTTTATAATGCTTCACTAAACAAATATCAATAATTGTAGTAATTTAAAATAGAAGTAAAGCAAAATATTCAATAAGTTTCTGATCAGACAAGCATTAAAAATAAAAAAATGAAAAAGAAATTATGTTTTATAGTGTGAAATTTAGAGAAATTTCTAATTTTTTGTCTTTGATTCTTAATATTTATATTAGGTCTATACATATGGGTTCAGCTAATGAGTGTGTATGCTAACACAGGTATACCAATATTCGCTAGGGTTAAAGACCACAGCTAAAATTCATAAATACTTCAGCTCCCTTTAAAAACATTCATATCGGCCTCTTTTAATAGTTCAAGCATCAAATACACATTAATATGCATTACTACATGCTGTGCAAACCATCTTAGCGCTAGCATCTATAGTCTTCCTTATTTCCACTCTTGGTTGTTCAGCCAATCAGCATCAAGGAAAATAAAAGTCACTCCTGGATTGGCTGTTTTGCAAATGCCATTTTTCTGGCAATAAGTTAAAGCTTATTGGTGTCACAGAAATGAGCCGAGTCAAAACCTCCCAGAATGTTAAGTCACATTTGGCACTGCGCTGTTACCTAGCAACGCCAATGGAGTTCTGCCCGTTACCTAGCAACCCCAGCGGAACTCCAGCATATTTAATTTTACCGCAAATTCAAATTTTTTGCATTTTTGTACTTCCATCTGGATCTCGGCTGTGGTTGCAGGTTTATGTCTGTCACTACGCTCTCATTTCTTTTTACAGTTTATATTTTCAGCATCAGTATTTGGGTTTCCAGGAGCAACAACCTGTAAAAGCGTAATAACTTTTCATTTAAGACAGTCAAAACAATCACTGAAAAAAAAAGTGACGGTGGACCATTATGGGATTCGTAAGTAATGAGCTGCCTTCAGGCAGGTTCTCTGCAGTCACCTTGTTCCTCCAGCTCCGTGTCAGGACACAGTGTCCTCTTTCAGTCCAGCTACTATCATTAAAACGCACATTTTTCTCAGCATGATGTCATATCCTGGCCACTTATCCACAAGTTTGTGAGCCATGAGAGTAAGAATGCAAAAACTGTAAAACAAGGAGTCCTTTTTCAGTCCACCAGAGTGAGAAGGACTCCTTTTTCACTTAAATATCTAACTTTTTAGTTAGATATTTAACTAACTAAAAGTTAAATACTGCTGTGCCTGGACTGCTCATCTTTGTGTGTTGAGGTTTAATGAGAACAAGCTGGGAAACGTGCAGCAGACAATAAACAGATCAAAGAAATAAAGAGGACGGATTCAAAGAGAACTGAGAAGATGAATAAACTGAAGTTGATTCATGAGTTCTATGCTTAAATGAAAGATTTTCAGGTGCAGCTAATGATAGATGAATATATTCACAGATGTGCTTTGAGTAGCGTAACATTATGCTGCCAAGCAGATTCTCTGTACTTAGTCAGAGGTGCACCGATCGGGTCTTTATGAGCCGCTACTCCAACAGATTCAGGTAATTGGTCCCTATTAAACATTTAAACTTAATAAGTATTAACCATATTAGAGGAAATGTGCTGCAAAATATGCAAAAAATGAGAAAACCAGATTAAAATTCACATTAAATATTGTTTTTTAACTGAGAAGACAAAGATGGAAGACAAACAATCATTATCCTCAAAGGTTTATTTAGAATTAATACAATCTTGTTGAGAGGTATTATTATAAAACCTCAAACAGTATTGAAATATATTAGATTTGGATTTATCAAGCTATAATATAGTGTTAAAGTACAAGAACAGTTAGTAAAGAACATAAATAAAATAGAAATAGTTCAGTATTTTGTTTCCAGGTCTGCTTCTCATTGAAAATTACTCCTAAAAATAGATTTGAGGGACTTGACTAATTTTAATGACACTAATCTTCAGTTTCCCATTTTTTTGTACTGAAAACCATAAAATTTCTACTTTGAGAAATTCAAAAAACAATTCAGAAATATAATAAAATTCTTCATTTGCTTTTCTTTTCAGACCATCTAGATTGGCATTTGATATTTAAAAACAGAACAGGTTTAGTCTGCAGATATCTTTTAGAAACATTTTAAATCATTAATAAAAGACGAGTGTTTTTATTGACTAAATCTGTTATTTTGTCCGTTTTAATCAAGTCAAACACATGGTGTCAAAGGTCATCCTGTTCATTTATGGATTTACTGGAAGCTTGAGCTGTTAAGTAGCTGACTGCTGGCTCCACCAGAGCGGGTGGCCCTACTAATTAACCAGCTAATGTCTGTTTGTTTATAGTTGAGTTTATCTATAAAGAGAATCAAAGGGGTAAATATCTGCTTAATAAGCAGATTTACTGGAAAACTACTACAAAATGTAATGTTTGTATTTCTGTGAGAATAATTCTTGATTTCTTTTTAAATAAATATACAAATAAATGTGGTTTTAGTTTTAATACATTGCTGAAATAAATCCAAGAAAAGTTCCAAACTTAAAGTTTAAGAGACGTAAAAATGGATTTAGGTCCAACAAGGTGATTCCTGATGAGCTGGAAACTCGTCTTCTGGTGGATGATCACCTGACAGATGACGGTCCGAAGTCGGACCGAGTCTGATTGATTCAAAGATTTCTCTTTCACATGTGGCTGAAAATAGCTTCCGGTCATGGTTGAGTAAAACACTAAAACTGAGTGAAAAACACCCAAAAGAAGACGATTTAAAACCAGAGAAGATGACGGAGTAGACCTGCTGCTGGGAAGGAAAACGTAAAGAAATGAGAAATGGATCAGGACGTTTTCCTCTGCTGAAACTCGGGACAAATCATTCACCGTTTCCCGTTTTTATCCAAGTTCTCTGCTCTGCTTTTAATCACTGAATTGGTTGTTTTAATGAGAGAAGAGAAGAGAAGAGAAGAGAAGAGAAGCTGGTGTTTGTTTATATTGTGTTTTTCTTGATTTATTCTCTGATCCGTGCAGCAGACAGGCTGTTAGAAAGCAACCCGGTGCAGAATGCGTAGCGGCTACTGTCTGCAGGGTTTGTAGAGCATGGAGAAATGGTGTGTCACTGGCTGCGTCTGGGGGCTGGGGGTATTTATAGGAGGCCGGGGAGGAGGAAGCAGCCGAGGTGAGAAAGAATGGGAGGAAAATCAAAAAATGTTAAAAATAGAAGGACAACAGCAAGAAATATGAGTAAAAAATGTCTCTTCCTGCAGTTTTGTCTTGGTGTTCATCATAAATGGAGCAAATATGGCCGACGTCTTCCACAACAGGGATAAAAAGATTTGGTCCAGCGCTTGAATGGCCTCTCCTCTCTTTGTCCCAGCCTCCCTCCTGCTCCTCTGAAAGCGATCCAGCTCGGCTCATTTCAAACCTAAACATGTCTGTCTGGCTCCAGAGCAGACCAGGCCTCCCCTCTCCTCACCCCCCCATGAGACCCCGTTTCAAATCCAGGGGGATGATGTCATGCCGATGCTTAAAAAGACGAGGGGCGTGGGTGGATGAGGGGTCGTCGGGGTTAGGGTGGTGGTGGTGTTGTCACATTCTGGTTTGAACTCTGTAAACAGTGATCTCACACTGCTGAGGTAGACGGCGGCTTATCTTTTTGTTTTCATTCCTTTATAACCAGTGGGGTTGGAATAATCAGAGAAAATGTCTAATTTAGGCTAAGTTACTATATTTGTACCCAAAGGTTGGTTTGTTTTGCACAAAGCATACATATCCATGCACACACACTCTAAAAAGTAAGAACACATCAACAGAACCAGAACTGATCAGATATAATGGAGCTCGACGATTCAAATGCAAATCAAAGCGGGACACAGAAGATGAGTAAAACTTAGAGATTAAACTATAACATGTTAAATTAAAAGCATGAATAACATCTATTAGGTTAAATCCAGTGTGGATTTTTTTTTTCTTCTATCTGGGTCTCAACTCCTTTTAAAACCAGTTTAAGTTCTTGTTTTTTGGTGTCAGAAAAATTAGCTGATTCAAAAACCTCCCAGAATGTTAAGTCACATTTGATGGGCATTGCATCGTTACCTAGCAACGCCAGTGGAGTTCTGCCCATTACCAAGCAACCCCAGCAGAACTCCAGCACATTTGGTCAGCTGGTTTTACCGCTATATGTGCTGTACAGTGGCTGCTGGAAAAAATAAGGGTTTTGTTGTTCACTTACCGTCCAGAAACCACTTCCTGCTTTCTTGCTGGCTGTGCAGAAGGCTCCACTGATGCTTTTCAAAGATGTGCGGTTGTATAACTGCACATCTGTTTGTAGTGTTGAGTTTGGGCCGTGGCCAGCAGCTGCTTATTTGGATTTAAATTGATAAGACGCCCTAAAACAGCTCAAAATAGGCTAAACTGACAGACTAAAATCTCGTTATCGAAGAATAATTTTGTACAAAAAATTTAGTTAGCATGTTTTGTATAGGCCATAGAATTATCCTAACCTAGAAGGTATAAATAAGTGTCCTGAAGAAGCCAATGTTTTTCAACAGCAGTATTTGTGTTTGTGGGGCTATGTTTGCAGTTACAGTCATGCAGTTACCAAAAGAAGTAATAAATGTCTTTCATCATAACTTTAATCATTATCGCAACAGTACCCTAAAATATATCAATAAAATTCTACAGCCTTATCTCCCACCCCTATTTCCCACTCAGAGTTGAGCTATTTATCATGTTCGTGTTTATACTTGGCCGTCCTGTCCGCGTGTATGTGCTACTGAGGAATCCGTGTTTGTATTTCGGGTCGCTCCGTGGGCTGATGAGAGGTGTGCGCTCTTCATCAGAGGATGCTTCTAATTCCAGGCTTTTTCGGGTTGCAACCGGAATCTCAGCTGTCTCCTCGCCCCACCCTGGCACACATTAGGGCGTGACATCAGCGCTGCCAGCGTCCCGCGGCAGCTGACGGCCTCCGGGTGGGATGTGGACACCCCTGCGGTTCGGCAGGGGGGTGTTTTGAGGCCGTAAAGCCTTCGCTGCAGATGGACATTCCTGGGAAGGGCTGGTTAGCCCGGGTGACAGCGAACACGACGCACAAAGTTTTGCACACGTTTGTTAAAATCCCTGTCCTAAATCACTGCTGCACGCCTCCACTGTCTTCACCCCCTCTGCGCTGCGCTTCGCCGTCCTCCGGTTTGTGATTCACCAACCTTCACCGCTCTGACTGCGTCAGCAGCCATTTGATGACAGGAGGAAAAGTTTGGTCAAACTGGGTCGAGGTTCCAGCACGTCCTTGTTTGTACTGTAATTCTGCTTTTGGGAGTTAAATTTATGTTTTGTCTTAGCAGTTTGTACGATGTATAAATAATGTTGTGCACTGCTGTTTTGTTTTTAAACTGCCTGAAAAAGAGGTGCAGGAATTTATGAAAACATTACAGTGAACCTTTGGTGTTCATAGTGTTATGGGAGCACAACCAGCAGCAAAAAACTGAAATGAGTCGAATGCTTATAAATGTCTGTTTTAATGGTTCAAACACAAAACATACCTTAATTTTAGTGGTGGGACTTGATTTAAAATTAACTGAGTTAACTGCAAGGATTGTAGTTAATTAGATTTTAGTTATAAATAAGCAACATTTCAAATCACAAAATCCTTTTTCAACATTTGAAATAAAAAAAAACTTTTGCTGTTAAATTATTGAATAACTAGACTTATGAGCTCAACAACAAAGACATTTATTATTTTTAGTCAGATTGGTGCTAACGTTAGCATTTTGGGCATCTGTGCTGTTGCTACATGTTAGCATTGAAATGCTATTTTAGGAGTGAATAGCTTCGCTGATGGGTCTTAGCCTATCAGCGAAGGCTAAGGCCTTCGCTAATGGATTTGATTGTGTTCAAATCCATTAGCACGATTTGAACATGATAGTTTTTTCCAGCGTCCAATCTGATTGTTTTTGAAGCAAAATTAAACTTCCAGTGGATTCAGAGAAGCAGCTTTGTTGTCCATCGTTGCTGTTAGCAGATTTTAGTTGTACGTCAGATTTATACAAGGACCACTTGAATGCAAAAGTTCCAGCTTTTGGATTATGTTTTTTAAAAAGCTATTAATTGTGTTAAAATTTTGTAATTAATTGAAATTAATGCATTAAAGTCCCGACCCTACTTAATAAGCATCAATAGACGCAGTAGAAACCATTTTAGCACTATAATAGAAACATCTACTTCCTTATCTTTGCTCTTGGGAGTTCAGCCAATCAGCATCAAGGAAAATAAATGGTGCTCCTGGATTGGCTACTTTACAAGCGCCACCCAGTAGAGTCTAGTCGTGTTGCATCATGGTATTTCAGCTTCCCAAGCTACTTCGTCTTTTGAATATTATAAATAAATCCCACAAATTTAAGGAGGAAAAATCAGTTTTTCTTTTTTAAAAGGATACAGTTTGTTGCTGCTGTTCATGTTTTGTTTTGTTCCAGTTGTTCATCTTAACTATGCATGTTGAGGACAAATGAGCTGCTTTGCAATTCATCACATTAACAATGTAATCCAAGTTATTTAAACAGGAAAAACCACATGATTTACCTCGGTAACCAAGTTAAGGACCTGAAAATATGATCCGGTTCATTTATCAGCTGTTTGTGATTATTTGATTTGATTAATTCGGACTGAGAGGAGTCAGAGGACTTCATTGGGTCAGAACCCAGTGACCCGCCCACGACTCCACGGCTAATCCGAGTCATCCATCATCCGAGTGGGAGCCGTGTTTACAGACTGGACTTTCCTTTTCTGTCTGTGTTTTTCTGACTTTTCGAGATCTCAGAGTTCATGTCTGTGTATTTATGTCTCCAGCCTCTAACATTCTGATTAGATCAGATTCTTTAATCAAATTACCTGATGAATCACACACACCTACACGTTTATTCCTTTACTGTAACATGCATTGGTAATGTCTCGGTCCTGTGTGGTTGAAATGCGCCTGTATTGGATGATTCAGCTTGTGCGTGTGTTGGAGCGTGTGTGTGTGTGTGTGTGTGTGTGTTGGAGCGTGCTGGCCTCCCTCCTCTGGATTGTTTCAGCTGTTGTGAATTAGAAAGGCATGCCATAACCCGGCCTCCTTGCTCTCATTTCTTTCATTTCAGTAAAAAAAACTTATGATAAATTTCTAGATGTCCAGGAGATTCACAGGTTTGTAGATGTTGGATCTGCAGCTTCATGATATCAGAGAAATCAGTCTGATTCTGATTCTGCTGGACCTAAACGTCAGCTGCACTCCGACTCACTGACTGAGCGAACCTTTCAAACACAGCTAATGTTCATTACGAAAGGAACTCAGGCTGGTTAAGACGTCACATGTTTTTAGTTGTCACATGTGTACAATTAATTCAGGAGGAAACATTTGCCACTTAATTTAACAGGATTTTTTCACCCGTTTCACTTTAAGGGGTGCATTTTAATTGTTTATGAAGTCATTAAGGAAAATCCAGCTCTCCTCAAGTTTCCTTCTTAATTTCAAGTTTAACTCTTATTCTTCGAGATGATAGACCTGATCTGACTGTTGTAGTTTAGTTGCAGATAAACTGACAGATTTATTGTATTCCAGTGTTACGAAATGTAGTTTTCTTCCTGAAATCACGTGTAGCTTAGCTAGTTAGCATCTTGTGGCTTTTTCTGAGCTTCTTGCTGACTTACAAACCTCATTATTATTTGTAGTGTTACACCTTAGCTGAGTGCCACCATGCTAACATTAGCATTAGCTTACTCAGTTGTTAATTTAGCATTAGCATGCTAACCTAAGACTTGGCAAGCTTACTTTAGCATTAGCTCATATGGCTATTTACTGAGCATTTGCATTATAACAGTTGTAATTAAAGCATTGCACCAACACTGAAGTTTTAGTCATAAGCATTAGTTTTGTTCACGTTAATGAGTTAATCTAACATGCTATTTAGCGGAAGTTAATGCTAAAGCACTAAATTCAACCATGTTGATACCCAACATGCGTCATTAGCACAATGTGGGTTATAAAGTAGTAATATCAACCTTAATGGCGTCACGTTTGTTATTTCGGACCTATCTAGTTGCACTTCAGGGAGCGATTCTTTGTGACAGACCTTGGAGAAGGGGAGGAAACAGAACTTTAACATAGATGTCGAACTTTATTCATCTGAAAGTTTACAAAACAGCCAAGCATCTTAGCACTCATTCAACAAAATTAATTTAGGGGAAGCTGAGTGTCTTCAAAGTTAGCAAAAACGCTAATTGAAGCATTAGCTTCGCTAATAGTGCATTAGCCGAAACCTTAGCTTGCTTTGGTGTTGGTGACGTACACCAGACTTTGCTCTAACTTCAGAGCTCGCTCACTTGGTTTTTAGCTGAGTGCTAGCATGCTAACTGCAGCATGTTAGCATGTCATGACGGTGTCTTCAGTCAGAGGCTTCTTCATATTTGCTGCAAGACTGACTGCTTCCAGTGTCACCATCCACCACAACTCTTTAAGACATTTAATCTACCTTTGGCACAAATAACGTGTTTCTGAATTTAGTTAAATTGAAGTGAATAATAGGTCGTTGTGTGGATTTAAGATTCTGGGTAATGACTAGTAAAAAGCTGTAGGGAGGAGAATAATTGGGTTACAGGAGAAACTTTTGGCGCCGCAGTGTAGAGGTGATGAAGGATCCCTGAAAGAGGGAGTTTCAGGTTGAAGTGATGAAGAGGAAGAGGAGGGGGCTTGAAATATGACCTACGAGGACGATACGTCACAGGTGATTCTGTTGTGTGTGAAAGAAGGAAGAAAAAGGGCACAGTAAAATACTTTGTGTAAAATACTTGACACCACTCGAATGGTGAAAAGTGCTGCCGTAAAACTGACCTCTGAAGTGTTTATAATGTGGAAAATTCTTCCTGCGCTAATCGCACATCTGTAATGTTGAATGCCAGCTGAATGAAAACACGCAGAGCTCGACGAGGCCAAGTGTTTATTGGCCCACAAGTGTGTGTGTGCGTGTGTGTGTGCATGTGGGTTAATTTACCGTTAAACTGAAGGACTCAAACAGTCGCCCACCCGCACAGAAAGCTAATCAGCTACAGAAATCTGCAATGTCTGAAACTGCCATTATCACCGTTGGGCGTGTGTGTGAATGATTGGCATGTTATGAACGCCATGGTGGAGGAAAGTGTGTGTGTGTGTGTGTGTAGCTGTTTTTGTATCCGTCTTTCTGTGTGAGAACAATAAAAGCTTTCAGACGCAGCAGCAGGTGAAACGCTCTGCTGGTTAATTTAAAACTAGTCGTGTTTGGAGAGGAGGAGAATGTCGGCTGCGTTTTTTTATCCTCCTGCTGCCAGGTAACCACAGAGGAGGGTGGTGGCTGCAGATCGAAAAACAAGATGGTGGGAGAGAAACACGGAAAAACAATAACTTACCCGCCGACAGGTGTTCCTCTGGAGCAAATAAACGACCCAGAAAAGTCAATAGTTGGCGTCACTAAGTGGTTTCAGGCCTCCAGTCGCAGACGGCCGCAGGGTGAGCGCTTCACTCTGACAAATTCACAAGAAGTACAACAGCATCCCGACCTAACCCGGGTTCTCCATCAGCTGGATCTGGAGAACCCGGTGCTTTGTGGGAAAAAGTATGGAGGCTCTTTTAGGAACGCATCTCAAAGCTCAGTGTTGGTCTTAAATAAACATAAATGCTGAGATGGATTTAGTGTTGTAAGTTTCTGTTCTGAGATAATCCTATATCCATCCATTGTTTTTTTATTTGAGTCTTGACCTGGATACAAATATTTCTTACTGAACTTATGTCATTAGAGAAATACATATTTTTATAAAATATTCAATTTAAATATTTTCTCTAGCATTAACATTTTTACTATAATGCAGGTGGAGACGAAGTGTTTTAGTAAATTCATTTGAAAGATGGAGTTTTGTGTCTGAGGATGAAGGGTGGGATGGCGGCCTGTAGCGTGTTGGG